TGTCACTGTTAATTAACCTTAAAGACATGACAATTCCTCTGTAATCACAGAATGATACTATAGTCTTTTTATCCACTGTTGGTTCTAACTTTTAAATTTGCTTTATAAAATAGCAAAACAATTTAGTAAGTCACATTGAAACTTGAAATAAAGTGGAAATTGGTCAGTAACTAAATATTGGCCATTAACTTCTGGTAATGATTAATGTGTTATGCAAATTATTACTGATTTTAAATCCAATGTGTCTGTTCATTTCTATGATAAAATTCAACCTTTTGAAAAAAATGAAGGATCAAACCCACAAGTATAGAAAATAATAATCTACAGGAGTATAATATTTACTTAAATAATGTAAATGTTCTTTTCTCTGCAAGGGTATTTTATTGTGGGTGTTGTTATTGTGCAACTCTTACTATGAATCAAGGTATTGGGGTGTGTGTCTTTTTTTTTTTGAACTGTGCTCCTATAAAGCAAAGTAATAACCCATAGTTTTGTTTTTGACTACACAGATTTAACAAGAAATTATAGGGATCATGCCAATATTAAAATTTTTATCCAACTCATGAAAGCATCTGAATTGACAAAGGCAATAAGCAGTCAAACTTGCTGGAAGCAACCCAAGTTTTAAGTTTCTTTTTGATGCACTCTTGAAAAGTGAATGAAGACTGAAAACTCTGTATGCAGATGCACTTCCCTACAGTACTCAACCTAATCTTTCTTCGATGCATTTTAGAGGATTATCTATTGGCTTTGTATCAAAAGGATACTGAAGAAGTTGATGTTGTGTAGCAGCATCCAATAATGTGCACTAAGTGTATGCCCTCTGTAAAGTTCTCCACAGTATTGCCTATGGATATTCTAAAATGTCTTTGCTTTAACAGGTATTCTTTAAGAGGAACTCCGAATGCTCTGTTAAGGCCAAGCTGCAACAGGAAAGACCAGAAGTCAGCCTTTGAGCCGCTAGACACAGAGGATACAGTGAAAGAATTCAGGCCTTTTCCTGGCAAGATAATGGGGGTGAGTGCAATAGATGAACCTCTTTGTTTTCCTTCCATTAGTTAAGTACTAGGAGCATTTGGGGGCAAAACCCTAGCTCTCAAGTTTCCCACTGCTTTTTCTTTATGTACTATAGGTAATATATACAGCCCATATAAAAAAAAAAAAAAACTAATATTAAACTTGTCTAGGTATTAAGTGCGAGTGTGCTGCTTATTGTGGCAAAGGCTAAACTGATCCAGTTACAGCTGCAGTGGCTTGATGTTACTAATTCTCAGTGATGTTAGATTAAAGCAACTATAACTATGGCATTTTAACTAAAAAAGGAAAGGAACAGTATTTAAAGTGAAAGAATATTTGTGGAATGCAAAACATCAAAAAGCTGCTTAAATTATCATAAATTCTGCAGTAGTCTTACACACGTGACTGTATTGTCTCAGATGCTCCCATCCACCTTTGAAACAACTGCATGGTCTCTTTAAGCAACCTTCCCACATGGGATTTTTTTTCTACAAACATCTCTTGAGTATCAGATAAGGAGATGAAAGTCCTTTGATGACCAGTTTGGAGAAGAATAGTTTACGGTTTGCTATCAGTTGTGGAAATAAGAGAGATTTGTAATTTCTTAAATTGTTAATAGCATCTTTAAACTGATGGTGAGCCTTCAGTTCTTTCCAAAATTCAACTAGTTTTGAATTCCAAGTGCCAAAAATTGAGTACTTCTTATTTCAATATTATTGAAATGGATCTTCCATTAAGTTGGTCTGATCCCTCTCCTGAGGATGAGGGAGAGTGTTATCTTTTGAAGACAGAATGGGGAAGGTCAGGACTTCATGAGATAATATTTTTCAGACCACAAAATGAGAAACTGACTGAAACAGTTTGTAATGTTAAATTACAGTCTACCATATTTATTGAATTCTGTTATGCAGAGGTTAAGTTGCATCTTTGTAGACCATTCACCAAAACAAAACTTCAGATGAGAATCTTGATTTATGTATAACCAAACCAAACCAACCAAGCCCTCACCCAGATTATAATATGCATTATATATTTCTTCTGATATTAGTAAACTCTAAAATGATCATTGAATTCATTCCATCAACTCTGTTCTTCCCAAAAACGCTGAG